AGTTTGCAGAACATTTCCATCGTTTATGTATCTGATCTAAATACATGGTGATGAGGTGGACACCAGCCTTGTCGTGGTTATGCGCTGAGCGACCTAGTTTCTTTTGGGGTTAATAAATTTAACCTGTCGACGTAGAGGGTGGTGATGGGAGGGGTGTGTGTGTGTGTGTGTGTGTGTGTGTGTGTGGTAGAGGGTGGGGTGCTAAGTAAAGTACACAAAGAGTACAACAGCCTCAGCAGCAGAATTTGGACACCGTGCCAAAACAGTCCTCATTTTAATATCCTCCTCCACCTCCTGTTCTCCCCCGACACAAAACAGCTCCGGCTCATGAAAAGCTCCTCACTCTCCACAACAGATGAAGTTGAAATGTTAACGTAGCTTCGGTCTAAAAAAAACACTCGAGGACAGTTTCATACACATTCTCAGACAGAAGCAGCTTAAAGAAATGAGATGGACGAAGCTTCACTGTACCTGTGGAGTGGTTCTCCAGTCACTTCAGTCTGGTTCCGCTGCGTCCCTGTGTGCGTCCCTCAGGCTAATAAGGTCTGGACGAGTGTACAAAGCTCAGTTTGTGTGTGTGTGTGTGTGTGTGTGTGTGTGTGTGTGTCTGCGGGTGCACCAGACAAAATGAGAGAGAGAGAGAGAGAGGCACAGACTTCATCTCCCTCTCCCCCTCCATCTCTCCCTCCCCTTCCTGATGATAAACAGAGAGCACGTGGCTTCACCAATGATGCAGCACACAGAGGAAGAGGGGGGGAGAGAAGGGGTGAGGAACGGAGGAGGAGAGGAAGAAATGTGGAGAGAAGACAGGAGAGAGAGAGAGGAAAGACGAGAAGAAAGCGTTGGAGATGAGGCTGGCGGAGAGAGGGGTGTGTGTGTGTGTGTGTGTGTGTGTTTCTAAAAGCAGGACACTGCAGCTCTGTGTTGTCGCCCACAAGCCTCAGAATTACTCACAAACTCACTGTGGAAACACGGCAACAAATATGAAAGAACATCAGAGCCAGAACACAAGATGACATCACACACACACACACACACACACACACACACACACACACACACACACACACACACACACAGTCAGGAGGGAACCCATGATAAACATCAGTATAAATTATAATATCAGAGATTTGTACAGATCTTTAAACGTGTCCACTTCTCGTTCTTCAGATTAGTTCACAGAACCTGCAGGTGCTTGGTTGACGGTGTGAATGTGTGTGTGTGTGTGTGTGTGTGTGTGTGTGTGTGTGTGTGTGTGTGTCACACGAGGCTCGTAGTCTCGTCAGCTGCTGGTTCTGGTTCCAGTTCAGGTTCCGTCACTTGGTCCACCGTCCAAACCAGTAAACCTTTAAAAGACAGTAACATACCAGAGGTTCAGGCAGAGAATATCTCATATAGGATAAACTGTAGGGGGCGCTCACGAGTTTTTGCATTTGAAGGTTTCTCAAAGCATCTGTTCAAACGTTTGGACCAGACATGTTTTGCAGTTGTGCCGGTGCAGCAGCACCAGACTTGTTCAAGGTGGAAATGCGTGAACAGTTGTTTAGAGTGTGGTAGCAATGAGATAGAAATGTGGTAGAAATGAGTTCACTTCTCCACTTGTGCTACAAGGTCAGACCACAGCCACGCTGACCCAGTGATCCGCCCTCAAGTGAGGCCAGAGACGGTCACTGCTCTGTGGCTCCACAGCCACAGGATCAATCTCTGCAATCTCAGTTCACGTCCATCACCAGTCACGTATCCTCCAAAATCACCGGGGGCAAAAAAAACTAAACAAGACCCAACCAGTTTCCTGCAAACACCAAAATACAACGTCAGCCGAACACATGAATTAAAGAATAAGGTAGTTTTAGAGAAGACAGCCAGCGGCAGCTTTGTCATGACGTGTTTGTGTCGTGTGGAATCTTTTGATACGAGTTGACCTGTCACACAGCTTTTAGATCAAACTCTTAAAGGACCAGCGAGCAGGTTCCAGGGAGGAGAAATTATTTTATCAGATCTGGACCTTCTGTCATCGGGTCCTTCGACCACACGAACAACCACGACCAGCGTTTCAGTCAGTCATCACCAGTTATTAAATGTGATGCTTATATAACATGAATGAAAACATCAGGAACACACCACCACATAAATATATATAAAGAGAAGCTAAACTTTGTTAGGATTGAGTAAATAGAGGGCGCTGTTGCTCAGTAAAAGTTACATATCTATTGGTCGCTTTTGCTAAAGTAAACACAAATCTTGAATTTGTCGGTAGCTGGATTTATTAAAACGCGAGTGTATGTAACACATGAGATGGAAATTCTGAAAAATACACTTTCACTTTCAAGAAGAAATTTAAGACGAACAATTCACAACCTGTTTCTTTACGAATCCCTCTTCCCTAACACCATCACCAAAAAGAAACAGTTGATATTTTTTCTCGTCATAACGTAGAAGAGCTAATCGCTTCAAAATGTCACATGAAAATCCACCTGTGGAATTTTTTAAACACACAGAACATGAATCAGATCCTCGTGAACTCTTGTTGAACTGAATTGTTTAACCTTTGCTGAAACCTCAGTGTTCCATTAGAGCTCACCCGGGGCACCACGGGGGGGGGGGGGGGGGGGGGGGGGGGGGGGGGGGGGGGGGGCTTCGAACAACCGATGTAAACTGTTCCCAGAAAAGCTCCTTTTAAAATGTTGCATTTCCTTTCAGCTGCAGGTGAAATGTCACCTGTCCACTCTGACCGGACCCGTTCACAGCTCGTTATCGATATCAGAGTAGAAAATTAAAGACATTTACCGAAAAGTAAAAGTGACTGAAACTAAATCTGCTTACAAATAAATAAGAATGCGGGAAAAAGATCACAGAAGGACAGAATCAAAGTAGAAGTACTTTGACCTGAAGTACTCCTGTTTTACTTCTTATATGTACGAAAAACAAGTTTTATAAACATTTGTAAACATTTTAGGGATTTAATCAATAGCAAGAAGTTTTCTTTAAATGGCACATCGTGTTTTTATACATCCTCTATCATCTCCTCTCATCTAAACCATGCCCCCCCCCCCCCAAAGGAAAACAAGGAGCAGGAAAAGGACAGAGTGTCAAGAACGAAGAGCAGAATAAACGAAGAGAAAGACAGAAAAGGCAGCGAGGACTGCAGCAGCCATGCAGCCACATCTCAGCGCTGAGGTGTGAGGATTATCTGTATCTGAAGCAACGCCCCCGCTATGCTCTCCAAATGAGTATTATCTCCCCCCCCCCCCCCACGCGTTGGCACAAGAGTAACAGCTCGCACAAAGCCATGTTGTCAGGGCCGGGGAGAGGAGGGGGTCCGATGAGCATTATGTGAAGCAGGTGGCAGCAGCCGTGAGGAGAAAATAGGCAGCTATTTGGTGGAGGGTGAGTTGTGTGTCGGACTATGCAGCAGTGATACGAATATTTGGACGAGATAGTGTGATTGTTGTGGTCATGGCTCTTCTTTTATACTGAAATACAGACGATTGTTACCAGATGTGTTGTCTATCTCCCTTAAAGCTGTGCCGAGTCATTTCTCACGTCTACGAGACGATGACGATGTGTAACACGGATTCACTAACTTTCCTGCCGCCGCCCCCCCCCCCCCCCCCCCCCCATGGTAAAATGTCCAGTTGAGCCCATGTGACAAATATCTGAAAACTCCCAGCGAGCGAGCGTGTTGATGATGTTTCTAACACGCGACAGACGTGACAATGATTTGAAGCAGATTTCAGCTTCTGTCAGATACATGGATGTTGGAATGACGCCTTCAGCTGACCCGTCTGAAGGAGCGAACTCTGAGACACTCAGACATCCTGATCAATCAATCTCGTCTTCACAGTATCTCCTTTGTCTCCTCTGTGTGTGTTTCTGTGTGTGTGTGTGTGTGTGTGTCTCTGTGTGTGTGTGTTGTTCCTCATTCTCTTTCCAACATTCCCATTCTGAGATTAAGCCATAAACTTTCTCGTGTTAATTTGGACTCTGAGTCAGTGTCCTGCGTCCCTCTGTTGACCGTGACAAACACACTAAATCATTGTCTTTAGAAGTTGACATCATTGAAATTTCCCATGATGCAACACAAAGACAATTTACAGCGTGATACTGTTCGGCCCTGGTGAACAGACAGAGCCGAACAGTATCACACAGCTGAGCTGTTGACGCCAGCGGGAACGCTGCTGTTCATCCGACGGCCTGCAGGAGTTTAAACGGCTCGGCTCTGAGGACTTCAACACTGTGACAAAATTATATTTATAAAAAATAAAAATATAACTGTCCGAGTGCTGTTTTATTATCTCCACCAGGGAGTTTATAGTTTCACTCTTATCTGTTTGTTACACAAAAACTTTTAAACACGTTACCAAGATAGTGAAGGACGGAGGAGAACTTTGGTCTTTGTTCAGATCGAGGGATTTTCTCTGGGAATAATTCATGTTTGAAAAACAATCAGGCATATTTACAGAGCTGGTATCTGTGTGTGTGTGTGTCTGTGTGTGTGTGTGTGAGTGAAATGTGTTGCTGCAGTTGTTGCTCGAGGACTGGATTAGGATTCCATTCTAATGGTGGCTGTACCCTGTCACCCATCAGGTTTATAGACTCACTCCAACCAACTTGTCCTCAGGGAACACAATAGTGGATTCATTTTCAATCAACAGTTTTGGATTCAGTGGATTATTTAGAGCAACAATGAAAAATGCAGCGGTTAACTTTTAATCCATTAGTATTAAGGAGCTTAATTACTGAATTAGCTAATAAACTACTTGGACGTTAACTGGTGTATGTTGAACTGATGGTCCTGCTCAGAGTAAGAAGTTCTGTCTCCACAGTGAAAATGATTAAACTATTCGTCAGGTTGACTCAAAGATGCAGGGATAAGATGTGAAAACAAAGAATATCATTTAAATGTCTTTATAATCAGGTACTTACATGTAGAAAAATTAGATACACAGAGAGAGAGAGGGAGGCAGACGCAGCCTTGGGCCCCTCGCAGCATTCTGTCGTGTACACAAACGGTTTCCCAACAAATACCAAATGTCAGTGGCCCTTAAAGGAGACAAAAGCCAGAGGCAGCATTAGTGTCTTGTGTGTCAGCTTCCTGGACGCCTCCCCTCAGTCTGCCCTTTGCTTTAGCTGGAAGCAGCGACCGTTCACCAGGAGCCACAGACAGGTGTAATGAAAGGCCGGTAATGTATCTGCCCGTGGAGTCGGGTTAGGGTTTAGATCCAGTCACAAACAATCCACACCGTTTAGATTTCTCACCGCAACAAAGAACCCTCTGGGACTGATTGCATTGAGTCCCCTGTGAATTAAAAATAAGTGTTTAACAGTGAAAACAAAGGAGAAATGTTATGAAATCCAACAAACTGAATTTCAGTGAAGGTCGTGAAAACAACAGGATTTACGAGAGGAGTTTAAATACGGCTGCACATTCATATTCTGACCCAGAAGACGTTCGGCACCAGGGTCCAGAAACAGGCCACCAGCAGTTGTTTAATGTCTCGTGGTGCGTCATCGTGGGCGACAACCAACGATGCTTTATGATGTCCTAAAAGAAAGAGTAGCATGTTTGATTCATTTAAACCTTCTACGTCTCCGTCGGATTGAACGATAGATTGATTGACGGGGAGCACAGCTGACAGAAGAGCCGCAGATTAAAATATAAACATGACGGCAGAGAAGGGAAACTAGAGGAAACATTTTTAGTTTACATTTTTGTCCCTGAAATCTGTCCCAAACTGTTTCCTTGGACTTCTTGTCTCTCAAACTGCAGCACAACCCACATGTGGTCAAACAACAGGACATTAAAACAAGAAGGTAACAGGTCAAACCCCCGATTAATGCGTTTGGCCACAATATCGAGGCTGAAGAATCGGGAGAGAGACAACAAATGTCAGAACTTTATGTGCGGTCCTCCCTTTTAGAACAATCCCATATCAGGATCAATAGTTTCATCCCAGAGGCAACATCAATATCTTCATCACCAGTGACCCATCTCCCAACTCGCTGTCCACCGCCTGACCCTCATTTATCACTTCAGCACACAGCTGGGCCACCCTCACGTGTCATTTCAGTACATCTGTGTGCTTCGCTTCAAAGTGTCAACATGTTTCTGCGTCATCCCCAAATCAAGAAGTTAGAAAACAAACGAGAAACAACCTCTTATCCAGAATTGAGCTGCTCTCAGACGTGAAGTGATGTTCAGACATAAAGAATCCACAGGGGATGAACCGGAGTCTTCTTGAACTTATCCCGCCACTAGAATAATGTCCCAGTGAGACGATGTGAGACTGCAGCAGAATAACAGAAAGTTAACAGGAAGCGAGTGGGTGTGTAGGTGACGTCTTTAACACGTGACAGACACAAAACTGGAAGAATATAAATATCTAGGATATTTTGAATCTTTACCCTCTCTGGTGACGGCATGTTTAAAAATGTTTTAAAATCTGTTTAAGTAGAACAACATCATTAATTTTAACATCTTTGTGTCTTTGTGTTATTTGTCCCCGCTGGTATTTATATGTGAAACTTTTATTTCATTTATTAAATAAGGGATAAATTAAAACAATTACTTTTGTTTTAATATGAATCCGTAAAGTGTTCTTAACTAAAAGTTCTATTTCTGTCTAATTTAAATCTCAGAGGGGGGTCTTTGAAGTTTTTAAAGTTACCGCCTGGAAACTTTCACACGTTGGCACTTGAATATCACGTCTGGATAACGAGCGGTACAGTGACCGGGACAGGAAGCTGATGATATCAGCAGCTAAAGGCCAAACACTCTCACATACACCGTACACTCAGAGAGTGTGTGGACAAAACACCATGAACAACATGTTGCCCCCCCCCCCCCCCGTGACACTCAAAGGATAAGCATTGTAGATGATGGATGTATAATTTTATTGGTATCTAAACATGTAAAATAAAAATGTTAAATAAAGTCCACTCTGACGTCTTCAGTTTGAAAGATTTTAAGAATAAAAAAGTAGGTACTGTACAATTGTTAACATTTCACATGCGACTCACTGGGTCACATTGTTTTTGTGACCCAGTTAATGAAATACTCAGCTTCTCTTCGAGTGGATGTGACCTGACTGCATCATTAATTAATTACTCGTTAATCAACACAGCTAAACTGTTTACAGGTCCATGTCCTCGGCCACGGGCAGAGAAAACTCACAGCATCCTGCTGCTGTCGTGCTCCAAAGTACTGACTGAGGTACTGACCAGAGTTCGACTTCTTTCAACTGCAGGTCGGGGTCAGAGGTGTCAGTGTTGGACATCGGTCATCTTCCTCTTGCGGTAGTTGAGAACCAGACTGGAGGCGGTGAGCTGTGCTGCCTGACCCTTCTCCCAGCTCTGGAAACCGTTGAGTCCGCTCTGCCCGGACCTGAACAGACCTTTCTCCAGAGAGTCCAGACGCTCCACCAGAGCAGACGTGTCCTCGTTGTAGGCATTCTGGGAAGAGTCCATGGTCCGTCTGAACCGACCAATGAACGTCTGCAAGGAAAGACAACACAAGCAGATTGACACACATCGTAAAAGAGTTGCATACAAAATCATGCCAGGGAAAATACTTTACTTTAATTGAATTTTAAAGTGACAATAAATAACCTCAGATGTGTATAATTTCATTTATACATCAAAAATATTGAGCGGTTTTCAGAACTGAACACTTGAAAACACCTGCTGTTTTCTCACGTGGACTCACTCAGACATTATTCAGACATTTTATTAGGGGGCTGCGGGAAACGTTCATGAATAAGTCCTCTGCAACAGACTCTAACGTTTATATTCTCACGTACAGGCCCTCCAGAAGATTTCAAGAAAACATGTCCTAACTTCAGTGCAGGTCTGAGAGCAGCTGTAGCAAAACGCTAAGTTTCACTTAATTCTAATGTAAAATCTATGAAGCAGCAATCAAATTAAATTCCCGGCTTCCGCCTTGATTTGTTGGTTTCTTTTGTCTCAGCAGTCCGTCTTCTCAACGAGTCGTTTTCAGTCGCTCCTTGATTTATTCTCAACATCGGCAGAGGACATTTGAAGTAATGATTTTCCAATGAAGCCGTATGTAAATCTTGAGACGTATGAATCTATGAGGACGTCTCATAATGAGCATCAGACTCAGTCCGCCTGGTAACAGCTGCTGCAACACACAGCACGTGTGCTCACGTTTTCTGATCTGATTACGCCCCCTAGCTGCGATGTATGAAACACCAACAACATGTCAGATTACTTGTTAATTAAAATCCAGTACGAGTTGTTTGGATTCTTCAGGATTTAATGCAACGTATGAATTATCTTTGTAATTATCCTCTGTGTATGGGTTATTGTGCATGACGTTCACCTGCAGGAGCGTCTGTGCGATATCTGGGTTCTCTGGGCTGTCGAAGTGCAGCATCTGGGAGCCCAGGCTGTAGTAGTAGGGCCCCCTCTTGTGCAGGTCCACCACGTTGGGGTCCGCGTTGAACACGGTCCTCCAGCCCTCTCTGTAGACCTTGGGCAGCTCCACGGACAGCACCCTCCTCTTCTTCTCGTACAGACCCTTGGACAACCACAGGGGAAGCTCCATCTTCGTGCCCTGACAGGAAGGACGTCACATGTCAGAGTGAGGTTGGGTTCATTGTAAACTGGCCGAGTTGTGAACTGAGACATGTTTATTCTGTATTAGTTTTTATAAGACTGTCCTCACGGAGACACCTTCAGCAAAGCAGGGAGGAAAAACACAAATGTCGAAAGTTTGAAGGGAGTTTGGTGTTGACGGTTTCTTCTCACATTGAAAATGCAGCGTGGATTTTAAACAGCATTAATGTTTATTAGCTTTTTCAGGAACTACCTCCGCGATGTCCTGCGTGTCACTCGACTTCTCCAGGAATCCAAGCCGGGGGAAGGTGCACTCCATCTGGACTGGGAGTCTCTCGTGGGACAGCAGGATGTCGTCCAGGGACAAGAAGTTCTCCTCCATCCCGACTCCAGCCTGGACGGGACGATACGGCTGAGCGTCCATGTTTGTTTCAAAAGATAAAAAAAAACTAAAGCGAGTCTGTGAAACACTGAAGCGTCCTCCGTTGTTTGGATTTACTTCCTGTTTGATGCTTTGGCGCCAGGACCTGTGGACCAATCAGAGCGCTGCTGGGAGGTCCAGACTCGATCAATCGATCCAAAGAGATCGAGCCTGAGATTTCAAATAAAATCTGAACTTTTATGATTTATTTCTGCTTCATTCATATTATTACTGGTTTATTTCAATACTCACTTTACAATACTTCAAATTATGTGTTTCTGTTATTTAACAAATAAATATTAAAAAAAATGTTTGTAAAATGGAACCACAACAAGCTGCATTAGAGAAATATGAGAAATAAATATATATATAAATATGAGAGTGGATTTACTTTACTGCACAAGTTTTAATTATCTACAATAATAAATAAAATGTTCCCTGACGTACAAGTGCAATTAAGAATTTAGCCTCTAGAGGTCAGAATATTACCATTTTATTTCTGAACTCCTCTTTAGATCTGTTTCAAAGATTCAAAGATGAAAACACACTAACAATATAATACTACTACTAATTATAATAATAATACTTATAATAACAATAATAATAATAAAATACTACTACAACTACTACTAATCACAATAATAATAATTGTGATTATTATTAGTGGTATTAGTATTAATATTACTATTATAATAGTAACTGTGTGTCATGATTCACTTGGAACATTGTGTGTCACACAAATAAGGGATCATCTTCATTCCATGGCTTCTTATGGTCCATCCCTGATAACAGCGGCCATGAGGACCAGGGATGATCTCAGCACTAGAAGGACTGTGACGCTTTATTTGAAGTGGTGCTCACGAGGTTTCAGAACCACATGATGATCAGAAGAGCTATAATATTCCATGTAACGAGGAATGAAACACCAGCGGGATTGAATACTCTCTGCAGAAAACAATTTCACACCACATTCAAACCACATCGGACAAATGTTCAGCAGCTGACGTCACAAAGCATTTTAAAACAGTGTGTTACTTCACGAAGGACAGAGACATGAACCCAGAGACGAGATTTAAACATGTAAACTTTAAACACCTAGTTAAAGAGTCGACTCATCAAAGAATTTCATTTGTCTCTGTAACTGTTGACGGTTCATTTTAATTACTAAATGCAGCAGATGAGTTATCGCCTCATACTCTCTGCTGCTGACTGATTTGTTGGTGTATTTATTTAAAATGTGTTCATTAATTTCTAGCCTCTTGAGGAACAAGCTGAAGACAGCAAACATATTAAATTAATATGTTTAGGTTAATTGAGATTTCAACCCCAGGAAAAAACACCTACTTCCTCAAATACAAACGATCAGACTGAAGACCAACGAGTCGCAGTTACAACGTCATCATGAGACGTAATATGAAGGGATGATTCTTTTTGAATGGTCACTTCATAAAAAGACTAAGAACGAATTTAATAAAGAATTTGAACCTGCGAGTTGCTTTTGAAGTGATTTAAAGATAAATCTATCTTTCTTCTAAATCAACAGTGCACTTAAGGGGCTCATCGGATTCATTCAGTTGAGTTAAATGTCAAACGTCCTGGTTCAAACACATAAAGGTCACTTCAGAGCAATGATCAGTGGGAGAGCAACACGTGATGACTTCAGTCAACATTAAGAGCAAAGTGACACCACAAACATTTCAGTAAATAACAGATATTGATTATATTTCCTCTGGATCCTGACGTTTGATGACCTCGACGCTCGTTCTGTTGCGTGAGTTGACAAAATGAAAGTTCAAAGTGGAGTCTGTCATCTAGCACAATTTATTCCACCATGTGTTTACAGTAGCTTTTTGTAAATGCAGTTTGTTTGTATGATTTGGTTTGTAGTAGTCTTCATTTATCAGCTCTGGCATTCTGAAGAGTGAGTAACACCCCACACGACTGTAATATTAAACAAATATTGTTAAATATGAACAAATGAATAAATAAGCCCCGTTCAGTGGATCCACAGTGGGACTGCAAAGTCCTTCTTCAGGTCTGAGTGGCTCACGTATCCAGTCGCAGTAACCAGACCTACTCTAGCAGAAACACGATGTGGGGAACCGACAGTAGCATGAATGTCACGCTCAAACACACATGCACAAACAGTCATATGCACGGAATCACACCCACACACACACACACACACACACGCTCTCACACTCAAGGCTCTCACTAGAAAATGACTAGTCATGATCACATGAAAAATCTGGCAGATCTAAAAAAAGAAAGAACCGAGAGGTTACATGTATAATTTACAATATGTCATGTCGCTTCTCTGCAGCTGTAAACATCAGCAAAGTAAAGGGAGGACTGCCAGTCGCACACACAGGGAACATGGACATCTACACTGTAAACATTTCAATACACAGACACACACACACACACACACACAC